ACCCTCCCACAACGTACCTGCATTCTTGCCGCTCACTATCTCTCGCTCTACGTCGGCTTCCCTCGACCCTTCTCTGCAACTGCCCACAACGCTGCATCAGCACCGGTTTTTAACTAGCATGTCAGGGTTTCATCTCTATTCAGACAGGCTATATCATTGTTTTATCTTAATCTACATGTACATTAGCAGTTATTATACGCATTCCCCATGTCCATCTCGTACCATTATACTCTTGGATAAATTAGAAGCTAGGGGAATGCGCAGTTTACTAATAGACTTTACCAAGTCATACCTGTCTAATCGTAAACACAAGGTTTTGGTAGATCATCACTTTACAGTAAAAGCCTCATTGTAAGTGATGTCCTTCAAAGCGCCGTTTTAGGTCCTCTTTTGTTCCTGCTTTACATAAATGATATCTTGGCTGCAGGTAAACATTCTGAATCGTTTATTTATGGCGATAATCTCAAATGTGTATAGTCTTTCAATAAATCTACGAATCTTCATTACCTGGAGCAAATCCATGCTGACTTGCTTGCTCTCTCAGCTTGGAGCTCAAAATGACTAATGGAATTCTCTCCGTCTAAATGTCGCTTTAAGTGTTTTGGACCTGAGAGGTTACCCCAACCAGTGGTCTTTCAAAGCACACCCTTGAATTAACGTAACACCATCAAGGATTTCGGTTTAAGTTACACTAATAATCTTGATCTCTCGCCAAACGCTGACAGAATTACAGCCAAAGCTGCCCAGATATGTGGCTTTATTTCTTACTATTTCTGTCTTCCTGAAATTAAATTAAGACTTTATCTTCCCATTCTCGAGTATTGTTGCCTATTCTTTGGTTTGATGAATGAGGCTAGTCGTTTAAAAATTGAAAATGTCCAAAGACGTTTTTCTAAAAAACCTTTAGATAAGGAACATCCAAATATCTCCTACTCAGAAAGACGCCAGCTAATTAACCTAAACCTTTTATGGGTTCGAAGACTAGAAGCAGGTTTCTGTCTCCTCTTTCGCATTAATCATAGTTCAAATCTTCCACGAATTTTAGCACTTACCCCCAGTGGTCAGCCATGAAATCTACGCAACTCGTCGTTGATTATTCCTCCTCTGGCTTCCTCCACCTCTAAACGCTCTCATTTTGTTTGCTTCCAGATATATTATCCTCCGGAATAACCTTCCAATAAATATAAGATCATCAGATAATCTACACACCTTTAAGAGGTTACGCTATATATGAATACTGACTCGATTAGACTTTTATTTTCCTCATCCTTCCCGGACAACTTTCTCTATGACACTGAGAAAGGGCCACCGGGAATTTAGGACGTTGCCATTAACTTTCCGTATCTGCTCACATTTCCTTCCTTTGTGAATCGTATCGCTTCCTAAGATCCCTTACCAGAAATGTTAATTTTTCCATTTTTTCAGTTCATGAATCGTGCCCTTACAGAATGCACTCCATCGACGCTCTAGGCGAAACCTTCTGTATTCGCCATATACTAGTCGTCTGGTCGCCTCTCCCTGCCCCTTCCTCGGATGGACTTGGATGAATGTAACCGACCGCATCTGGGTTCCTATCGACTCGAAACTGGTTTTTAATTTTGCCCCTTATTTGCCTTATTCAAGGCCACATACAGGCAAGTCCCGAGTGACCCGCCTATTTACCCCTTCATGAAATCCGTTATACAATGCCATATACAGCTGACATTTATTTCTGCCCTGACTATGTCCGATTATAATCCATGATATACTGCGACATGCAGGCCAGTCCTGCCCGCATTTTTCTGTTATTATTTTTTTATCAGGGGGTTTTGTCTTCTCCTGTAAAATTAATCCAAACATTTTAAATTTTCATGTGGTGTTTTTTTCGCTCCAAGCTAATCATTTTTCTTAACGGACTAGTAATTCAACAACTATAAATTGCACTTTGTACGGATTTTGCCTACCTCGTCTAAAATTCGCATATAAAATTTTTTTACTTGATTTGATGGGACCCCGACGGGTCTTTAATAAACAATTATTATTATTCCCCAATCAACTCACGGTTCTTCTTGCGCGCGTGAATAAGTATCACAAGATGCTAACTGATCTGTCCTGACAGATCTTCGCCAGGAACTCTTCTCAACGATTCGTTACTTAGGTGTGTGCTACCTTCGACGTCTTCGGCCACACCAGTACAAGCAACAAACTGTCTATCAGAGTCGCCCATCTTCAGCTGGCCCGCGACATTCTTATTGATTCTCAGTTCGTTTTTTTTGATATGAGTCAGTCTGTAGAGACCGAGCGAGGAACGAATGTCGGATCGCGGATCCGCTTATTTCTAGTTGCGTCCCCCGTAAGACAATTATTATTCTTGGGGATGAGGTTTTCCTACCCTTACTGTCTCGTCGCAGATTGCGCAGACTTTATCGTCGATTCCATCTTCAGAACGAAGTTTCTGTCCTACCCTTGATTAGTGATATTTTTGAGGGGGCTAAGAGATTGTCTGAAGAAAAACAGCTAGCCGAGGAGATCCAGTTTACCGAAAACCATTCGTTAAGTGACTCAAAACTTTTCTCTAGAAAAATACGAACTCACCGAAAGACGCAGCATTCCATCCTCCGAGACGCTCTCAGAAATCCCATAGCTGATGCCCAGTTAACCGCTGATGCTTTCAATGATTTCCTGCCCAAAACGTTCATTGAAAACTCCGCCACTCCGTTTTCGAGCATCCAGGCACTGACCGGGGCAGTTCTAGAAAATACAACTTTCACTTTGTGGGATATGACTGTTGCGATTCGGCGTTTTCGTCAATCTTATAGCCCAGGACCTGATGGTGTCCAAGTAAGCATTTTAAAAGCCGATACAAATATGATTTTCCCATCCCTCTTATGCAAGATATTTAGTCTTGCTCTTGAAAGTGAAACTTATCCTACCTTGTGGAAGGAATCACACATTCTGCCCATTCATAAGCACGGCAAATCTACATTATTTGATGACTTTCGGCCAATAAGCACCTTCCCCGCAGTTTCGAAGATCTTAGAGACATTGATCAAAGATAAGATGATGTGCCACTTAACAGTGAATAACCTACTGAGTGCTGCTCAGCATGGATTCCTCAAAGCTCGATCTTGTGACACCTGTCAACTCTCTTTCTTTGGCTATGTTCTCCAATCTAGGGACAATGGTTTTGCACTATACACAGTATATTTCGATTTCACTAAGGCTTTTGATCGTGCTGACCATGCTCTTCTCTTGAAACTGTCCTCTTTGGAATAGAAGGCGAACTTTTGAATTTTATATCCTTTTATCTGGGCACTCATACTCACCGCGTTAAGATTCCCAATACTTGTAGCGGCCGAGGACGTCAAGGGTAGCACACATCAAAGTAAGAGAACGCTGAGAGGAGATCCTGAAGGAGACAAATCACAACAGAGTCGTTAGCATCTCTGAATACTCATTCACACGCAGCAGAAGAGGGTACGTCAGGAACGGAATACAGTAAAGTATAACAAGACGGCCATGGGAGATACGTATAATAATAGTTACTCGTATAGTTTGAATGAGTTACACCCATCAGATAACCTGTCTGGGTGGGGAGGCGATACCGACATGCCAGCTCATAAACCGGTGGGGAATGCAGAGCTGTAGGCAACTGCATGGAAGGGCCGAGGGAGGTGCCGATGTTGGGAGACGGAGAGCGATGCGGGCGTTGCGGTACGGTACGGTAAGGGGAAAGGGATCGGCGGATGAGAGAAGAAGGGACACCGGCCATTTTCACTGACACACGGTTACGCCATCTCCACCCTAGGTCCTCGCGCGGAAAAGTGTCACACATTCAAACAATTCCGTACAAGTCCAAGGGCATTACATACTATCTCCAACCCCACACGTGTGAGAGGTGGAGTCATTAAGGGTAGGGTACTTAGCCCGCTTTTAGTTTGTCTTTTTGTAATTGATGTACCCGAGTTATTTCAGAATGATAAGCCTTTCATGTGTGCCGATGATCTTAAAGTTGCATATCGATATAAGCCGGCAGATCATGACATCGTGCATGAGCTCCTAAAGAGCGATCTACAGGCTTTTACCCAGTGGTGCCGCACATGGCGCCTTTCTCTTTCCTGGCATAAGTGCTCAGTCATTGTGGTTGGCGACGACCGCCAACCTCAACTAAGCATTGATGTTCACGCCATAAAAATGCCTGACGTAATTAAGGATCTGGGCGTATCATACTCCATTGTACCTTGATAGTCTCCAAAGCACGTAGAACGACCGGGTTTATCCTCCGAAAGTTCAAAACTAGGGCCATTAGAATGCGCCTTCACGACATGTACGTTAGACCTGGCCTGGAGTACGGTTCGTTTTTATTTAGCCTCATGCGTGCTACTGAGCGGAAGAAAATAAAATCCGTTAAATACTTTTTACCAAGAGATTTTTAACCCCGGAACACCGACATTATCCTTGATTTTTGCATTGAGAAAGGCTCCCACAAATCTGCTTAGCTGTTATATATGCTGTTTTCGCATCAGGCGCCTAGAACGTGCACGCCGCTGCAGTCCTTGCTTTAGCTCTACAACGTACGTGTAAATCAAGAGTAAACAAATCAACTCATTTCGAGAACGAAGGCTTATCCTGCGAAAGTACACAAAGCCATTCTTATTGGAAATTCCAGCTGTTTTGACGTTCACGATCGACAAATATCATAGGTGTGGTCCCCTTTAATAAAATAAAGTTGCTGTAATTCTGTTATTCCTATGTGGACCACTTCAAAAAACATGTGTCTGCATCTCACCTTATTATAGTATCCGGTCGCCCGAGAATGCACTTGCCTTTGATACTTCTTACTTCACCGACTCTCTTAATGCCATGCGCCGGGTCGTTCAGTGGCTGGAAGTATCATGCAAACATAATTTCGCAAAAGTTAAACTAAAGAAGTGTCGCGGAAGCCTCTGAAAATGTTTGACCAATTGCCTGATAGCCGGCGGAAACAGTCCGCAAATTGATTCGACTAATCACTCGCAATAATGTCTTCCAACGAGATACATCATTTGATGGAGGGTAATTGGGATAAGTATTGTTGTTGAGGGTTTTAATAGATGCTCTTCGAATTTACGTTTTGAATGTGATTTGGGTCAATGCCTTCAGCCAGAAATGGTTTACTCTCTTTGCCTTCTGTCTCATGAGACGACATGTGCATGCAGAAGTTCCACATCGATATCGATGCAGTTTCCGTGTGCAATGGAAGGTTTTATCCTAACTGAGGTTTGTTTAGGAAATACCTCTGACACAACTTTCATCGAAAAATTACTGAATACTCCGAACAGCTCTAGTCCGATGGGACTATACTAGTCTCCAGCTGGAGACAAGCGAAGATGGGAGTCATGTAGGGTGCCCTTCCACACAAGCAAGTTTGTTGTACTGCATTCACACGGAGAACCTTTGTGTGCCCTGGGTCGAACGGACTGGTTTGAAGCAGTAGTTACATATCTAACAGCAGTTGATATTCCAACATTGAACGTCTCGGCCGCTCGATGGAATGTCGCTTCTTGCGACCTTACATAGGGGACATAGTGAACGAGGACATGACAATCTGTGCTTTATGAGCAACCAGTGAGATAGTCTTACGGATGCCAGCCTTGATTAATCAGAGTATTCCACTCCTACTAGGCAAAAACGATTTCCGAACACCCGGCCCAGCCACTTAAAAACATTTCCGGATATATGTAACCAACACATTTCCATCCCGTCGTTCATAACCTACGGCCTAATTAGACGATTGAGTACTGATTTACTGCAAAAGAACAATCCATGGCATATAACGTGTTCGGTTTCCCATGGCTGTACCGAAAGGGATGCTCCGCACACCATCCTGGAGTCTGATTTTCGGCTTGCCTTAATGACGTAGAAAAGCTGCAACCCACCTCAATTTGCGGTGTCGTTGGAACATGGGAGAGAAACTTTCTAACGAACATTGCGTTTACCGGCAGTTGTTTTTCAATCGAATCACTCGTTTGTTGCCAGTAAAGCAAACTGTTAGGGTCATACTGTCTAACACATTGCAGATAGAACTACAAGGCGCCGTCTCAGAGACCAGTGGTTACAAAAAAGACCACATTAAGAGACTGAAAAGTGCAAATCTCCTGCATGAGTTTTTTACAATCCGTTTATGAGTATTATCCTTAGATGCCCCATCGAAGATAAGGCAAAACAAAGAACTTCTGAAAATCAGCAGTCACGGGCACGGCTGTCAGTAACCGTCATTCAATTTGGTTAGTAGGGCAACCACTGTGTACACAGTCTTTCCCGACATGGTTAAAGCGTGTCTGCAGGGCCTGAGCAGATCATCGTTTTCTGCCTCCACAACGATTGAATTCTTCCCGGCTATAAGCGACGTGTTCATTGCTTTTTCTTGAAGCGGCCCTTAGAAGCAGAAGCACCTTAGATGCCTATAAATCTTACCTTATTCGGCACTTTTTTTCCTTGTAGGTGATCCCGAACCCACTGTAGACCCGGAAAGGTTCACATTGTACGATATGCATTTTTGTCCCTTCTGTCAGCGCGTTCGGTATACCCTGGACTACCATGAAATACCGTAAGGAAGTGGTTTCTCTATGACGACCACATACTGTTCCAAGTATTTTTTTTCAGCCACACGTAACGCACTTTGATTTTTCTTGTTTAGGATGTGGCTGCCGCCTGTTTACCTATTTTATCCATCAATGTTTTGACTTTACAACTTAGAGATGTGGTGATTTTTGGTACGGTTTGAAGTACCAAACTTTCGAACAGTCCTGAGTCATAATTTAGACGGTAATGCGAATGAATAACATTCATCACTCCACAAGACCCATAAACGCTTTTTATTGGATGCAAATTGTGCCTTGTATAAAATAGTGGTTTCAACGACAGTCATTTGAACAGGTCAGAGGTGAGATTGTTGTGGGCCAGAGCTCGGAGTGTTGTGGAGTGCCATTGGACACGGGCGATTTCTGCTGGCACACCATCTATTCTTCTTATCCTCCGCGATGGACAAAATGGAACGCTGCGACATCAAGAAGGTAGAAGACCGTCGGTTGCTATTAGCCATATCGGGATTCGAAAATGCACTGCAGTGTGAATATCTGGTCAAGGCATTTACGTCCAGTTCGAAACTCCGTCTTGTTTGCTTGCGCCCCGAGTCACACACCCTGAAGTCGCCGAGGATGACAACGGCGATGATCTTCGGGGTAACGTCGATGAGGTTTCTGCCGCGATAGCTTCTGAACCTTAACACAAGGACGTCCATGGCCCAATCATCAGGAACTTGTACTTGATACGGCTGCAAGCATGCTTGATCTAGCCGGCCTCGATGATGTCCCGAACTGTACCTCTCCACGCGAGAGGATCCGCGGCAGCAGATCTAGACTGCTCAACCCATTCCCTTTGCCAACGACGTTGACCGAATACCCAAGGTCCAAGAACCACTTCCATGTCTGGACGAACTGTGTCGAGCCGGGTTTTGAACTGACCACCCTTTCGACGGCTCCAGTGGGGCAACGGTGCCGGATCGACGGCAATAACACTGAGCTCCTGAGGTGCACGACGAAGAACATGCCCGAACCACTTCAGTCGTTTTTCATAGATGGCCTGAGTTATCCTTGCGATGTTGTCGCGGCGAGCGCGTACTGTCTCATTTGGGACAAAGTCGGTGAACTTCACTTGAAGGATGGTCCTCAAGTGGTGGTGGTCACGTCGGATCCATAGGCATTTCCGAATTCTTGGGAAAACCCAGCGGGCAGCATCAGTTCGGAGACAATGTCGTCCTTACTCTGTTCATTAGGCAGCAGCCTCGCCAGAGGTATTTAAAACTGTCTACCTCTTCAAGTTGACAGCCATCAATCCCGAGGGGTGCCTTCTCCCGGTCAGGGATGCAGCTTGAAAACATTTTGGTCTTCCCAGCGTTTAAGTATAAACCGACCGATTTAGCGACCTCGTTCACCCGTGACACCATAGACGGTAGGTCACCAAAACTTGAAGCAATTAGGGCGATATCATCGGCATAGTCGAGACTAGTCAGTCGATGTCCGGGTGAAAACTCAACGCCGTCACTCTCGCGTAGGGCCCTCACGAGGATCCAGTCAGTAGCATAGTTGAACAGAATGGTTGATAGGATACAACCGTGTCGAACGCCAGACCGAATACCGAGCGGTTGGGAAAGATTGTTGCGGATCAGGACTCCCGCAGTAGTGGAGCGATAATAAGCCTTGATCATGACGATGATTTTTGACGGTACACCATCTAGCGCCATTCTCCACCATAGGATCATCAGGAACGACCCCATCTTGCCACAGTAGCCTTATGGAGTCAGGGGTCCTATGTCTCGAAACACGGTTTATGGACTTCAGGGAAAGCACCGTCGTATTCGGGTGCCTTGTTGCTGTACAGGCCTTGTATTACGTCAGATTTTCTGTCCCTGAGAGGGGTTACTTGGCACTACTTAGACTGATGATGAGTAAAACTGATCTAGAGGACATCGTTGGTTGTCGAGGTTCACACACCAGCGCTCGGCATTTGTCGAGTTGTCAGAAATCAAGCCGTTGCTAAAAAGACGGGCAACTTTGTAGAGTTGTTGAGCGTCACCAAAGTTCTAGACCTGTTCCGCGAGGTTCAATGCTTCAGCCTAGTATTTTGCCTGTCGCCTGGTCGATTTTTTTGTCATTTTCCGAGGTTGGCGGAAGAAATAATCGCCGTGAAACTTAGCTGAAGGCGACTGAGCGGGTAGTTATAAGGCTCGTTTGCCAATTCAGTCACTGCAGTACCTCTGGTTGAATCAAAGAATTTAGTTAACTATTCCATAGTCTGGTGACTCCAATGATGACAACTGGCTACTGCCTGCATAGTCTGTTCGGGTCGTAAAACTGTATCAGTCTTTTGTGCACAGCTCGGCTGTTGAATTTTTGCTACACCAAGGAGTCCTGCACGTGACCTTTTGCGTACAACTAAGAAGCGAACCCTCAGGTGGGTGCGAACGGAACGCGGTTCGAGCCCTGAGTGTTACCAGTCTCGGCACGAAACATCGATCTGCAATAGTGAATCCAAAGTACAATTCGAACTTTGTTGATCTGTCTGATAGAATAGCTGTTGCCTGGACACTAAGTTAGTTAACGCGCGTGACCGTGCCGGAAGCACCTGTGGATGACATATAGTCGGCCCTGATCACGGCTATTCGCCATTTTCTCACCGAGCCAAGCTCAAGCGGCCAATGAGGTGGCCGTTTTAATGATTACCTGGCTCAGCCTAGCCATCGCGATTCCCAGCATTAGTCAGCAGATTATGATGACGGGGTCGTTAACACTGACGGCCGCGAGTCGAAGGCTTCTTCATTAGGCCTGTCAGTAACTGCTGTTTATGGCCACACTGGAAGGCAGAAATGTTCGCACGATGACCCTTCGGTCTTGCCTAAGGCTGCCCACCATTGGCTTCCGCGTAAGTAGTGCATGGCTCGCTTCTTGCGAAAGACCAATCTCCACATCGTTGGTTGCTGGGCGAGGTGCGGGCTGATCCCTCGGAATCGATTTTATTTGGGCGCCTGAATGGGTGATTCGGACTTTGAGCAGGCAGCAGACATCCACGTTCTACTGCGTGCCGGCAGACTTTGGCGACCAGGATCCAGAACTGTTCGCACATCCTGGCATTCAATACCAGGAATCTGTTTCTGACTGAGTAGTCTGACTCTGACACTTCGTCAGCATCAGTGCACTAGGGTTGCAGAGGCGTTGGTTCCCGCGGACGTCACAGCATGGGTCGTAATACTTGAACTCGACATCTCATGAGGTTTTCCCTGTGGGTTTTGACTACAGACGGACCCCCCACAGCCACTCAGATCTTTTGTTGTCTGCTGTGGCGCTTTGGCCCTAGAACCTAGCAGCAAGACAGCAGTGACAAACGGACTTTTTTAATGGCGGTTTATGGTTGCTATGTCACAGTGTCGCATTGCACTTTCGGAATTTTATAGGCCAGTCGAGGTGCCAGACCTCATCCTTTCGCGACATGGCAGCGCTGACGCTACTGGTCCGTGATTGCCTTTTCTCCAAACCAGAGGGCCTGCTTATTTCGCACTCGGCCCCTTACTAGAGGCCGCTCAATTGCTCGCCACATATGGATGCGTCGGATAGCCAACTGCTTGGCTAACGGATAACCGGCACTTACGGGGCAACCTGTCTGCCCTCCGCGTAAATGCTCGTTCCACCTACTCCTGGAGGTTATGTTAGTGACTGTTGTTGCATACTGTTAACATAGTTGATCGTTTCATCGTAATCAATGACGTTTTTTTCCTCTCAGGTACGACCGCATCTTAATCAGCCTTGATTCCAAGCCCAGCTGGTATCTACGACTGAATCCGCCGGGGAGGGTTCCGCTACTCTTGTATCGAAATGAGAAGCTGATTCAGTCGAATGATATCATGAAGTTTATCGATCAGTTCAAGGGCGCTGAGGCTTCACTGCTGAGCGTGTGTGGTGAAGAGGGCTTCAAAAAGGCCTTGGACTTGTCGTCTTCCGTAAGTCTACTGACTAATTTAGGATGCTTCGGGTGGTGCAAGGCAATAGGACGTCGTTCCAGAATAAACCCAAATTCACCCACTAGCACTTTCTGTCTAGGCAGCAGCGGCATTCTTTTCGACATGTACCTGCTCCCCCCCCCCCTCTACCTCCTCCTCCTTCCCCCTTCTCCGGTCGGTGCCAGGTCAAGTTGTCGGATTCTCTTCACTCACTTCCAGAGTATGACTCACGCAGCAATGATTGCTTACGCCTTCATAGAACGTACTGACAGAGCACTGGCCGCAGTTTACATACTAAATAGGGACGGGTCCTAACGGCTATAATTAGGTTTACTTCTGGCGAGAGTTAACCAGTCTAAGGTCCTGGCGAAGGCGCGTTCACCAATCAGGTTACGGAACATGCTTCTTTCGTTGCGCCGTATGGCTCGACCCAGAGCCCACGCCGACAGTCGCATAGCAACTAGTAATATGTGCAGAAAAAGTGTGCAGAGAAAAGTAAGGGAGACTGGGACGGCTATTTCTGGCTTATTGACCGTTGTCAGCCAGTCCTGCCCAGTCTCAAGTTCGCAGAACCCTGGGGTTTGAATCCGGATTCATGCGATACTGACCGGTAAGTTGTTCAACGCCCAACCGCCGATCAACAGATTGCTTATTGCGATCGGAATTATTAAGCGTGATGGAGGTGCGTCCACTGATCAGGTTACGGGGCACGTTTGTCTCGTTCCGGGGCCGTACGTTAGACCACTCAGTGCTCAACGACCAGGGATCCTGAGTTCGAATTCCACGTCCTCCAAACCCGGTATTAAGGCCGGTTGATGACGGCTATTTAATCAAAAACGGCCATCCCAGTTTCCCCTGTCTTTGTGGGCACTCCTTCTGCCTATAGTTTTTTTCTGACCTTCATGTATAGTTTATTTCGACCCAACTGCGAAAAACGCGGCACTTCGGTGGGTTTCGAACCTAGCTTTCTGTGACGTAGAGAATCAATTTAATTTGATACAGTAAGCCGATTGTCCGAACAGGATTTGGTGAGTAATCCATCCAGCATCCACCAGATGACTATCGGGTACTCGCAACCAATAGGTGTTTTGGCAGATTTCGAGTAGTTGATTTTGACATGAGTGCGCTCGTGCATAAAAATCACAACAACGACGTGTTTCCTTGGGATTTTACTTTTAAACCAAACTCCCATAAGACTTATGAAACATTTAACTACATTTGTACGTTATTCAGATTGCACATTCCCGCTACAAACTGTGTTACACACCTAACGCAACAAAGGCCGATGCGGATACCCTCAAAGCCGCTCTGTCAAATTTGGACAAGGCCATTAAGGGCCCCTACCTCATGGGTGCGTCTGTTTACTGTTTCTTACACAATACTATTTTCGTCCGCAACAATCGACTTAGTTCATCCCTGTGTTTACCGCCCTCTTGCTCTCCTTAATGCGACTTTGACGGGTAGCTCCTATCCTGTTGCCCGGAGCGAAACGGCATCTCAAGAAAATGTTTTAAAACTTGGTGTGAATAGCAGGCAGAGCCTATGTCCAACCTGGACAGAGTCAATCAGCATTGGTATATTTTTCCTGTTCCGTCTATTGTACACGATCACATCTTCTCCCTCGGCACTAAACTCCTACCCTGACTTGTCAGTTTTTCGTGACGTGGGTTTCTAGCAAAAGTGAAAACTAACGGACTTCTCCCACTTTCTTTTCCCCCGTACATTTGTCGTACAGCCCTATTCATAGATGTTTGGCAATTTTTTGAATCATTCATATTGACCCAACTAGGAAAAACTCGGTGCCTCGGTGGGATTCGAGCGCACGCAGTAAGGGGAGGGCCTTAGTACAGCCAACGCTCTAACCTCTTGAGCTACGAGGCCCCACCCAACCTACTGCAACGTCTGGAATACACCAAATCGGATACAGTACGTTGACTGCCCAAGCAGGATTTCCCAAGTAATTCACCTAGAATCCACCAGATGACTACCAGGCTCACGTGATTCATAGGTAATTTGGCAGATTTTGAATAATTCATATTGGCCTAACTGTGAAAAACTCAGCGTTTCGGTGGGATTCGAACCCACGACAGCAAGGGGAAGGCTTTAGTACAGCCAACGCTCTAACCACTTGAGCTACGAGGCCCCGCCGGACGACGCGAGTTTAATCACATTTGGGTCAAGTTACCCGCCCAACGTACTACAACGTCAGGAATCCACCAAATGTGATACAGTAAGTTGACTGCTCAAACAGGATTTCCTGAGTAATTCACCTAAAATCCGGCGGGTCCTCGTAACTCAAGTGCTTAGAGCGTTGGCTGTACTAAAACCTTCCCCTTACTGCGGGGGTTCAAATCCCGCCGAGCCGCCGAGGCTTTCACAGTTGGGTCAATATGAAGTACAGCTTCATGTCAAAAAGGCAACTCAACCTAATTTACTGCCCTTTTGGTTTCCAAAGGTGAGAAAGTGAGCCTGGCCGACCTGGCTGTCTTCCCTTTCCTTAATGGCTGGGACCTGATGATGGAGCGATTGCTGAAGTTGGACGGTGCTTCCGGTGACAGTGTCCAGACGATCACCTCTCAGTGGCCAAACGTGCTAAAGTATCGCCAACTTATGAGCCAGAAACCCTACATTGTGAAGACCGCCTTCGAGGATGATGCCTTCGAGCAATTCCTAGATATTCAAGTCGCGAAAAGAATAACGGCAAAATCCTCCTAGTCTGTTGTGTGGGCCTTCCTTTCGCGCCTAGGAACACGTATTTTTGTTTCCTTATTTTTTCGATGTTCTCTTAGTTGAGGTGCCTTTTTCATCAACCCTTTGGCAACGCTTGTTTTTCCTCGAAGTCAGCGTTTGCATTAATTTAAATGAATTAAAGTTTTCTAATGTGCGCAGACCGCCTATTACTTCGACTCGGACCCCTCTTCTCATTAAATGAGTGTATTATAAGGGATCGGAAAACGGAGACTCTGTGGTTTTAGTTGATGCTCGTGACTGTATCTGGTGGCACCTCTCACGTAAGCGGAAAGTGTGCTTTTCGGTTCCTTTCTCCGTGTGGCTCCTCTGCGTCATTCGAGATCCGGGCGTTCTATCAGGCATCTGATCGGCGCGGACAGTAGTCTGGTGTCTGGGAGTCGGAAAAGAGGGTGAGCCCGGCGACTCAGCGCACTTTCTATAAACAATTAGACGCGCTTGAAACCATCACTGTGCACTAAAAGCCGTGACTTTGAAGGTTGCCAACTGTAATTCGAACCTAGCAAACAGCCCAGTGTGTTTTTTGTGGGGTAGCCGACTGGCGGACTGAGAGTCAGGCTGCAGTGGCCCCTTAATGTGACCTCTATGGCACTCCCACTGTTGGGTGTGGCGGAATGCCCAGGGACGACCAAGATTTTAAGCAACAACATCAGTATAGGGGGGGGGGACAGGGTCCCGGTGAGCGAAGTGTTTGCCGACAACTCGGTCTGCCACCGGACTCTACACCCCTCCAACTGCCAGTGGGTCGGCGCTTATTAGGTAAGCTGGGAACGGGTCACCTGGCTATTAGCACACTAAACCTCTGTGCCTCCTGACGACTGCGAAACGCGAGCACCTCAATCGCTCTTGCGAAAATCAAAGGTCATGTGCGGGGACCCGATCGTTCGTGGTTCCCACAGACGGGTTGTCCAGCCACTGCGTCTAATTCACGCGCAAATCGCCGTCCAGCAGAGCATGGTGCAAGCGTTGCGCATCGTGGTTCGTGACGTTCGAACCATTGTTTATGCATAATGGTGCCCACAACGGGCAAAGCTGTTGATACCCTCAATCAAAGCAGTGGTCCGGGCGACTCCCTCCTTCGTACGACTGACAGCCGGGCTAAATTTTTCTTCTTTAAGGTAGCCACTATGGCATTCTCACACATGTGACATCCGGGCAGCTACCCACCAGGTTGTGTGGCACGGCGTTCAAGTCACTCCGGATCTTCCTGACATTGTTTTGCCATCGGGTCAAGTTGGGCGCGAGAAGTGAGAGTGCGGAGGGGATTCGGCAGGTGACTCCTGTTGACAAAACAGAAGGAACATTGACAGTATGTTATTACCAACACAGACAAGGAAGGCATTCATCATCTGGTTGGCGAACGCACCAACTTCCTGCAACAGCTCCTCGAAGCTTCAATTCGCACAACTCTTAAATTTCTCCACGATAGGCGGCACATGACCTTGCAGAGCGCATCTTCATGACATTTCCTGAATTATCGCACCTACTGCAGGACATTGTTTCCATGGCAAGTTATCCCATCTACTGTAGATCAGGGTTTTATAGTATGCGTACCATAGGCGTCTCCTGTCTCCACGTCTACATGTGGTTATGTCAGACAACAATGAACATTTGCTGGTCTTACGGCTTCGTTCCACAGCGCATTGGTTTGTTCAATGTGACACTGTTTTGCCCTTGCCCAATCTGTCATTACCAATTACTTCCGCTTACCCATGGATGGATTTTCGATAAGCGACAAATCTCACTGCAGGACTATCTGCGGGCAGCCACGAACTTCATTTTCTAGTGCTATTTCCAATGCCACGCATCTCTAACGTTTGAGGCAATTTTCTCCCACAAACTGCACAGATGACTATATTTTCTGCCGATTGTGTATAATTACATTTAGAATCTCCAATGCACTTATAACGGAACATCTGTCGCTCGGCCCGTAGCCTTCAAAAAACTGCTGGCGTTCGGGTTGCAGTTCCGCGCTGCCGAGACATTTTATCTATAAGCGAATATGCTACTGGCAAAATTTTAGTAACACGTTTATTTGACGTTAAATAGGAATGCGTCGGATTCAATAGGGTCATCAAAGGCGTTGCCGATTAACCTAGATATACTATGCGCTACTACTACTACTACTACTACTACTACTACTACTACTACTACTACTACTACTACTACTACTACTACTACTACTACTACTACTACTACTACTACTACTACTACTACTACTACTACTACTACTACTACTACTACTACTACTACTACTACTACTACTACTACTAATACTACTACTACTGCTACTACTACTACTACTACTACTACTACTACTACTACTACTACCACTACTACTACTACCACTACTGCTACTACCACTACTACTACTACTACTACTACTACTACTACTACTACTACTACTACTACCACTACTAATACCACTACTGACAGTTCGACCATCGGTTTCGATTATGTCGACCGTGTGCGCCACAGTTGCAGCAGCAGTAGGAGCAGGGACGGTGACTTACGTAGGGGTTTATAGTGCCAGTTGACTTGCGTGGCATCTACCTACACTCTCTCCTCCTCCCTCGCCCGAGTCCGGTGTCAAGACAGAGTCAAGAAGACCTGCAACGAAAGAGGCCGCAGGTGGATGACTCGGACGGATCCTCACCTTGGCGTTCCACCACACCCCCTGGTCCACACAACAATAACCAGGATTTCAACCAACAACAGAGATTTGGAGGCTGGCAAGACCGAAGCCGCACCTAGGCGTACCGCCAACGCCTGGCTCGGATCCCACACTGTGGTGGGAGTGCCATAAATGCCACATTAAAAAGGAGCCATTGCAGCCTGACTCTCAGACCGCCTCCAGTCAAGGAGGAGGTCCAAGTTACCCCGTCAGTTGGCAACCTTCCAAGCCACGGCTTTTAGCGCACCGTGAAAGCTTCAAGCGCGTCAGATTGTTTATTGTGAGGAGAAAGTGCGCTAAGTCGTCTACCTCACTCTCCCTTCCCACTCCCACACCCCAACCGCTGTCCGAGCCGGTCAGCAGACTGGAGTGGGGAGTGGGCGCGGTGGCTGTTATGGTCGACTAACCATGACTGCGCGCGCCACGGCACGACCTGGCCCCCCATACACACAACACCAGGATTTCACACAACGGGGGTGGAACGGCGTGTCTCTCACTTGCGTGAGAGGGCCGTGGAAGGTGCTGCTTCAGCCCGTCCCCAGCCCACCAGTCCGCCACTCCATACAACACACACACACACACACAACGCGACGAACTGCGTGAGCCGAGAGCGGGCGTCGATCAGCAACCTTCCTATCCACGACGCTTGACGTGTCGGGATAGTCTCGGACTCAAGTCACCCGTGCAGCCGAAGCCGCATGGGGACCGAGTCGAGATGCACACTTCCCACTTGCGTGGGAGGTGGCAATTGGGTGCGTGTTGATGTGTGGTGGTGATGGTAGAGGAAGGTAGGGAGTGTGTGGATGTGTGGTGTAACCGGCGGTTGTCTACCGCAGGTCGTCGTGGATGCGCATGTGTCCGAATAGGCCCATGCGATGCCTGAAAGTGCGAGGGCAGTGTGGGCAGTTGAGACGAGCTTGGTGGGTGTAGGTTGGTGCTCCAGGCACTGGTTCGCCAGTCTCTGTGCGATGGATTCGCAAGTGACCGACCAGGCCGATGCGTGAGGTGAACGTGCGTGGGCAGTGTGGGCATGAGAGGTCGACGTTGTTGGTGTCAGCTGTAGAGGAAGCGGTGGTGGTGGTGGTGGTGATGGGCGCGTGTGGCGATGGAGCGAGGGTGGTGCTCGGCCTGGTGGGTGTGTTGGATGTGGTGGGTGTGTCAGAATTGTGGTCAATTCCGATCTCGTCAATGCGCATGTGGCCGAATAGAACCATGCGATGCGTGAAGGTGCGAGGGCAGGGTGGGCAGTGGAGGCGAGTGCGGTGTGTGTAGGTTGGTGCTCCAGGCACTGGCTCGCCAGTCCCTGTGCGATGGATTCGCAAGTGACCGACCAGGCCGATGTGTGAGGTGAAGGTGCGGTCGCAGTGAGGGCAGGTGTTGTCCTGATCCTCATCTTTGGAGTCGGGAGAGGTAGGGGTGGTGTCTGTTGTTGTGTCGCGGTTGGTGATGTGCGAGACGGCCGCGTGAGCGGCCGCCGTTGGGGCATTGGTGGGGGAGGAGGAGGAGGATGATGGAAGTGGTGGGTCAGAAGAATTGTCAGGGTTAGTTGGCGGCGGAGGGGAGGAAGAGGCGGGTGGGGGGACGATGGTTGGTGTCGTTCGAGAGGCGCAGTTGATCCGAAGGTGTCCAACAAGTCCGATTTGAACCCGGAATGTCCGTTGACATCGAGGACACGTGGGAAGCGGTTGTGTGGCGGCGTTGTGTACTGGGCGAAGTAGTGATTTGCGGGCTTCGCGTTTCGCTTTGGCGGCAGCGATGCGGTTGGCTTCGTAGATCGCAGCGCCTGTCTTCACTGTCCTCCTCCAGGTCGAGCGATCGAGTGCGAGCTCCTCCCAGTTGGTGGGGTTGACTTTCAGGCGCTTCAGAGAGGTCTTCAGAGTGTCCTTGTAACGGCGAATGTGGCCTCCTTGGCGGCGAGAACCCGTCGCGACGTCTCAGTAGAAGAGTCGTTTGGGTAGTCGCTCAACGTCCATGCGCACCAGTTGACCGCTCCAACGCAGCTGCATTTGTATCAGCATAGTGTAGATGCTGAGGATTCCCATCCGTTTCAGCACATCAGTGTCGGGGATTTGATCCTGCCAGTTCAGACTCAGGATGCGACGAAAACAACTGAGGTGGAAGTGGTTCAGACGGCCTGCCTGCTTTGTACATCTTCAGTTTCGTGCTCAGTTGAAGACCGTGGCGATTCAAAACTGTGCTTTGGAGGCGACTGAAGGCTTGACTGGCTTTCAAGATCCAGTTGGCGACTTCGTCATCGATCTTGGTGTTGCGGGAGAGAGTACTGCCCAGGTACTGGAAGTTCTACACCACTTGCAGTTGGGTTCCGTTCACGCTGATTTGCGGCGGCGCGTTGGGGGCAGTGGCTGAGTTGGGTGGCGGTTGGTGCATCACCACCGTCTTCTGCGTGTTAATGACCAGACCGAAGTTCTTACAGGCGGCGGAGAACAGGTCCATCCTCCGTTACATCTCCTCTTCCGAGGTGGTGTTCAGGGCGCAGTCGTCGGCGAAGAGGAGTTCGTGAACGGTAGTTGTGGATACGCGCGATTGGAAGTGCATCCGCCGTTGATTCAGGAGGCGACCGTCTGTCCTGTAGGCGATGCGGATCCCGGGGCGTTCGTCGCGTTAGGCGTTCATCAGCATGGCAGAGAACATAAGACTGAAGAGGATAAACGCCAGTACGCAGCCCTCCTTCACTCCATTGGTCACTGCGATTGCCTCTGAGACAGCTCCGTTGTCCGTGACTTGCGCCATCATACCGTCGTGCAGCTGACGCACCATCTGAGTGAATCGCTCCGGACAGCCGAATTTCTGCATGATCTTCCACAGTCCTTCACGATTCTCTGTGTCGCAGGCTTTCGTCAGGTCCACGAAGGTAGATTACAGGTGGGTCCGCATCTCCTGACACTTCTCCTGGAGTTGACGGGCGGCGAAGATCATATCCGTGGTCCCACGATGACGACGGAAGCCGCATTGGCTTTCGGGCAGAAGGCCCTGTTCGAGATGGTTATTGAGACGGTTGAGGAGGATTCGTGCGAAGATCTTCCCGACGATGTTTAACAAGGAGATGCCACGGTGATTGTCGCAGACTTGGCGATTCCCTTTTCGCTTGTAGAGATGCACGATGGTTGCGTCCTTGAAATCTTGCGGGACTTCGCCTTGACGCCACATCTCCTGGAAGAGCGCAGTCAGGTGATCCATCAGTTGGGCCCTCCGTGCTTGTAGACCTCAGCAGGAATTGCGTCCGATCCGGGTGCTTTCGCGCTGGAGAGCTGCTGCACGGCCCTGATGGTTTCCTGGAGAGATGGCGGGAGGTAGAGATCCATGTTGGTCTCCACTAGCGGCAAACGCTCGATGGCGGCGGCAGAGATGACGGAGGGGCGGTTGAGGACGCCTCGAAAATTCTCGGCCCATCGCTGCAGGATTTGCGTCTTCTCAGTCAGGAGAGTGCTACCGTCGGCGCTGAGGAGAGGAGCAGTGCCCTTCGTCGGCGGACCGTAGACAGCTTTGATCGCAGAGAAGAAGTTCTTCCGTTTGTTGCGGTCCGCGTAGCTTTGGATCTCCTCAGCTTTGCGAGCAGTCCAGGCGTCCTGCATCTCGCGCAGTCGTTGCTGAGGTTGGCGGCGACTGCGGTAGAAGGCAGCTTTGGTGGCATCAGTGGGGTGATCTACGTAGGCTTTGTGTAGGCGGTTCTTCTCAGCAAGCAGATTTCTGATGGTGGCGTCGTTGTCGTCGAATCAGTCCTGATGTTGGCGGGGAGCGCGACCGAGGACGGCGAGTGCCGTCGACTGAACCGTGTCTCTCAGTTGACACCAGCGGTTCTCCACGGAGGCGTTCTCGGCAGCGGCGGCGTCGGCAGCGATAGGAAGGTTGTCTAGCCGTTGAGCTAGCTCATTGCTGAAATGAAGATGGTGAGCGGGCAACGACAACAAAGCAACATTCAGCTGACCTGGGGGTCGTTTACCTTGTGGTCTCCTGCGAGGCTCTAGGCGAATACGCATCTTCGAGATGACGTGGACTGTATTGAAGCGTCAGTTGACAATCTTCCCATCAACGGCCGTCAGCGCACCGTGTTAGTCGGTGGTTCGGAGTGCACATGCATCAGATGGTGCCCAGAAGCACACTTATAACCCCCACCTTAACTGTACTACTAGCCTAACGCTAATGGCAAACTTGGCAACTGCCCGAAATTTAAACGGGACTAGTATATCCCTGGGCCGAAGCGTCACTTCATTAATTTTATGAAAAAAGACTAGAAGGATATGTAGCGACTAAGCGGCTAGAGTAAGTACTGTGTGTCCTTGTCTGTGCGCTACAATTATCAAGTCAAATCCCAGATTGTAAGGAGAAGTCAGAAGGCAACAGAATGAGGGGTTTATTGTGCACAGAACCCGGAGTTGTCCTCTCAGGCGGCAGTGGCCACTGGCGAAGCCAGGGCTGGTGTTGACTGCGTCCAGTCAGGCCTGAGAGTCCCTGGGATAATTGTGGCAGCCGCTTTTGTAGGCTCGTGGGCCAAGCTCAAGTGGCGTCCAGTCAGCGTGTTGCATTTGCCGAGGGATGGTGTCCTAGTGGCTTGTTTTGCTGGTTGCAGGGGGTGGCGCGTTCAAGTGGCCGCATGGGCAGCTGCGACTGCGCGGACGCAGGTATGCCCGAGCTGTCGGTCAGGTGACTTCAAGTCAGCTCGTCTGGGACGGCTCGCTGCAAGGGATGAATGACCTTGAGGCAGCGAGGTCTGGAACAATGACGCCAGACCGGTTATGATGTCTGGCTGCCACAGATATAAGACAGCCATTTTTAATTTTACTCCGATTTGCAGGCACGCATTGTGAATTTGACAGGTTCTTGACTGTGCCCCGACAAAGCCACATCAGGTCGAACAAAATGCACCAATCAGCAGCTTCAAATTTTGCACAAGCCTACAGTTTACATATGCGGTAAATTTACACTGTATGTCCTTACTAATCACGTGCTATTGTCTGTGATATCTGGGGAGTCTCTACAATAAATCATTCTTAATCGGTATTCTGAGCAATTGCTACTGCTGGCATATTAAGCATGCAATCAGACGTTATCGTTAACTTGAATCGATTGTTTTGATCGGAACAAATTTGAACCGCGATAGTCTCCTGAAATGCCTAAGCTAGGAAATCGATGAAGTCTTTACTGTGGGACTTGAGAGGACGATCGAGAGGTTCCTGTCCTTCAGCTGCCTGATTTCAAAGGAATACCGTATATTAAAAGGTACCTACTTACATGACCAATTGACATGCATTGATAATTGTCTCCTACTTTACGCCAAACATAGCGCCTGCAGTTTAGACCACTAATAATTAAACAACGCTATAAATTAATTTGCTCAGCACTAGACTGGATTTCAGAAGTAGTTCACATTGCAAGAAACCTGCAGATATTCTGTGAGATGTGCATCGCAGCATTTAAATAGGAAATAGTTCGTCTTTTGCATACTGCGAAATTTCGCTTTTCTTCCTGGATAAAATGTGTTTATTCAAGCCAAATCAACACCCCCATAGATGGCGCACATTAGAGGCCCAGAGATATCGCAGTCAGTTTAAGCCATTCGTGGACAGCCTTGACTTTGGTGACGACTGCATAGTCTGCCGGCCTCCTTGTTGGTGTGCTCTCAATCACTCCATGCCAGAACCAACCTCCGCAACCCAGTGAAGGACAGAATAGTCCGCCGCCACTGTCTCCAGGGCCTGCGCTCTAAAGCGTAAAAACAGTAACTTAGAGTGTAGGTTTGGTAGACAAATTGTATGCAAACAAAACCATCAGAGTATACTTTCATTTGTGAACAGCATAGCAGATGGATACTGTGAGGAATGAGCTCGTGTATGCAAATTATCAAAATAAAATATACTCACGATTAAAAGCTTGTCTAAAAATCGCATAATTAGTTTCTGCGTTTTTGCTTAATCTCGTCAACTGGGCATTCTCGTTTTGTTTGTCGCGTTATGAAAATGTGCACACTCACAGTCAAAAAGATCAACGATTTTAAAGTTTACAATAAATTTAAAGGTGGAGGGTTGGTGTCCAAATGCGTTGCGAAATACCTCTCACACAGTGCCGTGAGACTCGATCTAGTGCTCCAAAAGCCGCCACAGAGAGACTGCTAGAATAGGTTGCATAACATTACTGAAGAAACCAATCAAGGCCGAAATGGTCATTTCTGTCTTCTTAGCCATCAGCAGGGGGCTGTAGCCAAACCCCAGGTTTGCACTCGCCATGGCTCGACCTTGCATTCTGTCAGCAAAAAAACCCTACGCCTGGACGCAAAGGCCCAATAGGACGGGTATGTCCGTAGCACTATCGATGAGCGTCCCCCTACCATTGAATACACACGATAGAAACCGACAGAACAACGACCTTTGTACTTCCATCCAACTGGAAGCAGCATAAAGCCCTAAGAATAGCAGTCTCAGTGTTGCGTATGGCGGGCTTATGAGAAAAAAGTAGGCCGAAATGGCCATCCCAATCTCCATCTTTTTTTGCAGTCAACCGCATGCTGAACATGAATACTTGACAATTTTAAAGGAATATTATGCGCATGGCTATGAAAAGTTGAGATTTTCATAGAAAGACAAGTAAAAAGCTAGCTGGAGCGCTTAGAAAATAACAAGGAAAATAAGACGAAAGTGGTAAAAAGAGAAGGAAAAAGACAACGATGGCGTCAGGCTTAGTCGTAGTTCAATCTACAAGCAAAAAGCAATACTGATAATAAAATATGTATTGAAAATTAAGGAAGAACTAGCATGGCGATGCTATTTGCACAGCAGATGATAATAACATTGGCGAAATTTCCAGCCGGTAGTGCAACACATTACCTGGCTCAAATAGCTTTAATATCGCAATGTCGTAGCCATCCTCATACGATGTTGCATTGAAATTCGGGTGAAGGGCTACATATTGCACGCGTCGCAGCTGCTGAGAAAGATCAGCTTGTGTGTAATCATGTGCACCAATCAGCACATAGAGCGGATGCTCGGATGTAATGGTCATGTCGATCAATCCGTCAAATGGGTTATATCTGCAACCAATGGCATCGAGGACGCCGTGCGCTGCTGTCAAGATGAGGGAGCGATTGATCAGTGTTCCCCCACAGAACGGCCGATCGCCAAATACCCGCGACCATAATCCCACCTTGAAAGAAGGAAAACTAGTAAGATAAGGTTATGCGACAGTTCGACCGTCGATTTCGACGATGTCCACCGTGTGCCCCACAGACTGCATTGTGGGAGCAGGAACGGTGACTTACGCAGGGGTTTATAGTGCCAGTAGACTTGCGTAGCATCTACCTACACTCTCTCCTCCTCCCCCGCCTGGGCCCGGTGTCAAGACCAAGTCAAGAAGACCGGAGACGGGGGAGGCCGCAGGTGGATGGCTCGGACGGATCCTCGCCTTGGCGCTCCAATCCGCACCCCCTTGTCCACACACAAATGACCAGGATTTTGACCACAAAACAGTGGGGTGGTGGCAGTAATCCAGTTGTTCGACCAATGCCGACAACAGGGTCCGCCAGCGCACCCCGGGAATGTTGGCATTTGTTATTGCGCACATATAACGCCTGCCAGTGTCCGATGTGGCCCCGTGATGGTCCAGCGCATCTAACACGTGGCCCGTTCTGAGGGCACTAAGGTTATGCAGTCACATCTGATAGACACAATACAGTTAGGGTTTGGGGTTAGGGATTAAGGAAACTATTTCTCAACCATCAAAATTACGATCGCGCATTCACAAAAAGATTCTCTTATGCTTACAATTCCTCGACTTCGTCGCTTCTGCGTTCCCCGCCTGTTAAAACCCCGTCTACCACCATTCCCATATTCCCGGCAGCTGGGGTTCGCATACCTCAGGTGCTCTGCATAAACATATCTGACCGGAAAACGGTAAGACCTTTAAATGGAATGGGCCGGATTCGCCGCGTAGTACTTAGGTCGCCTTGACTTGCATCTACGAACAACGCAGTGCCCCCTTCCCCTAACAGAGAGGACAAATCTCTCTTGCTACGTTTTTACAAATGGTTTAGAATGAGAATAGTAAGTATAATATTGACATTACTGCGTAAACATTTGAAGCCTTGTGTAAACTGGCATTTTGAGTCAGATTTTGGGCTATTTTTTACTCATTTCTTAGCTGGCAGCATACGAATCTCTGCTACATGCATTGGCAATTTCAAAATCTACTCCATTTTGATTCGCAGTCAAAACCACCAATGATAAATATAATGAATAATGCCCCATTGCAATACGCCATGCTAAGTTACTCAGTCATAAGAAAATGCAAGTACATTGAAATGGCCCAGTTTATACATTGTGGCACTTTTATACCGCGATTCAGGTATATGACGTTTAACCAGACTTAACGTCCCTAAGCGACAGTTTAAAACGAGACATAGTTTTTCCCTTGAATAATATTCAGACTAAGTTGAATTAAGTAACTTCGCAGATGACCGGCTTGTAAAGTATAATGGTTAGTATCACTATCCGAAAAATGGTGTATCGTATTAGTGCTACCGTAGGACGATATTGCCTTGAATGCAATAATCAAATCAAATACATGGCATATGTTATCGATCCACGCTTCCTTTCTATTTTTTGATATTTGGTGCCGACAGGATTTTGTTACTGAATTATCAGTTGCTTACGTGCCAAGGCCAGCTGTGGGGCGTTGCGCGGGTCTTCATTCTCGTGGCTTCCTCTTTGTATTCCGGTCGAATGGCAGGAAACCCACAGTCCGTTGGAAAACCGCGCTCGATTTCGACAGCCTTCACCAGACCTGCAGGGACGTAGTTGCATTAAATTTTTATTTTAAAGTTCGCAGTGGCGACAAGCAGGACTAAATGAAATGCCAAAAACAGTCTATCTTCCTGAGATTACTGATTTTTCTTCTCTAGCTCTGACCTGCGTTAACTCTCCAATTGATGGTGTTCAGCAAATGTATTTAGAGAGTTTGGACATGGAGAACATTAGTTTGGTAAGTAAACAATCTTAAGTGCATTGGTTAACTGAAAGATAATTAATACATGCCATTTTGTCATAAAAATCACATAGCAGTGCCTTGTTAGGATTCTAAACTTAGACGCGGGGTCTCTAGAGCCATGTCAGCTTGCGTCTACTAACGTAAGTCTTCCTACAAGTCGCGTATACCCACCCAGACGCAAGGGTAAATGTGTGAACCAGATGTGTGATTTAAAGCACCCACGTGTTTTGACATATTTTATTTTGAAAATTAAAGGCAGTAAAAAATCAGCATTTTATTAGCATAACATATTTTCTCCTACGTCAACATGTTTCCTACAAAATTTCCTAAAAAAGTGCGCGCATTAATTCAAGCTGGAAAATAACTAGCATCTTTAAAACCACCATGTTTTTCAGGACTAATGGCAATCAGCAAGTAAATGCAGAGCTCGTAGTTTGCTAGAAGGTGAGTAGCAATCAAAAAGTTCCAACTCCTGTGGATTAGTCAGTACAGATAATTGTACAATATTTGATTCCGTCGAAAATGCCTGCGTAGAAAGATGGGCACACTACAGGATTTTAATTTAATATCAAAATGCACAGACCAAAGACGATGGTCCCAAGGAGGATGTAGGCAATCGCTCCAGCAGGCCAGCGCTTCATATTTAAACCGCAGAGGCACGGAGAATGTGCTGAGCCGTGAAGCCTGTTTTCCGCTTATATAGCACATTTTTTAATTCAGCGTAGCTTCTTTTGGACGTCAAAAATAAGCCCCATGTAAATGCTAACTCAATTTTTGTTTATGTCCCGCTTTTTAATCTAAAAGTTCATTCAGACAAGTAACGCTTCAATCAAATGCAGAGCCAAGATCCATGCGAACCGCACATTCATCTCAAGTTGGTGCCTTAAGGGTACTAAAGGCATGATAAAAGGAGATGCCGAATTCATCGACCAAGTACTCCGACAGCCACAGAAGAACAACAAAGTGCCCATCAAGACAGCATCGCTTTTGAAGCTACTCAATCAGAGCCCGTCTGGCAGGCGTGCGGAGAATCACGCAAGCAATAAAACTGATTATCAATGCTCAAACATTAGGTACGCAGTGCTGCTGGCAGTGAGGAGTAACCGTCAGAAGATGACAAAGCCAAGAATTTCAGCTGCGCTTTATTCAAGCTGGGCGCCTGACACGGTTTCTTTCAACTGCACCTGATAGTTGGCTGTCGCTAACGACTTGAGCCTGGATTAGTTTAGACTGGTGGTAGATTCGCGCTGCATTTAACCCACGTCATCTTTTCTTACCTACCTGGGTTTGGTCTCACACAGTCGAAATGACAGGAGGCAGGGTCGGTAACACGAGTCCTGTTGGGCCCCCCCCCCTTCATACACGATAGCGACGCCAGCGGGTTCGCGATCGGGGGCGTACTCTCACAAGCCGACGAGACAGGAGCCGAGCGACCGATTTGCTTTGCGAGCAAAACCCTATCGAAGCCCGAGCGAAACTACTGCACCTACCGACGAGAATTGTTAGCGCTGATTACGTTTATCAAACAATTCAAACCATTTTTAGTGGGAAATCACTTTATTGTCCGCACTGACCACAAGAGGTTACAAAACATGAAAGAAGCCGAACTAACGACGTGGTGGCACCTGTGTCGACTAAAGCCTTAATGGGTTTGTTGTCTAGGTAAATCGTCGTGTAAAACGGTAAACTATGGGACGCGTAATCAAAGCAGACGGGAATGATGTGGTTACCTTCCTTGGTAATCGCCGCCGCAGTACTGTCTCTATCTCCCCGGAATTGTCTTGGCCCAGTGTTGAGCGGTGGGGGTCGATAGGGCGTGCCGAACGTGGAGGGTCGGCTGCCGCGATTGAATCGTTGTGAAGGCTGGTAGTGCGGTCTGGTCCAGGTGTTGTTCTGTTGCCTGCGGTCTGGCGTGGATTTCCACGGTTCAGCCCGGGAGTGCTTATCGCCTGTTGGGGCATCGGTTGCTAGCATGCGGGATGTCCGCTGGATGGCTTCGTTGAGGTCGCCCGGTGGCTGAATCCTCAGGGAATACGTCACCTCCTGGGACCCGAGGCCGCGTTTGAGGTGGTAAAGAACAACTACCACAACAGTACGACGTGGTCGCTTCGACCTAGGGGGGGGGTGGGGTCCACATAGCACCTCATCAATGCTGTCCAGTGACTTCGTAAGGAGCAGATCCAGACAGTTTGACTGTGCGCGAAGGGCAACAAATAGGGAGTTCAAAGGTTCAACAGCTATATTTCCCTCAAATAAACTGAACTGAACTTGGTCTCTATCGGCCTCTGACAGTGAGAGGTAGGCGTCGCGTGCGAGCCGGAGTAAGGCGTCGGCGAACTGCCGAGGGGTCTCATCGCTCCTTAAGGAACGTTTTATTAACTAGTCAAGGGCTTCTTCTATGGTCAATGGGGGTTGAAATAGCCTCTGCAATTGGTCGCACAGCACCTGGAAAGGGGTGTGGCGGGTGAGGCCGGCATCGAGTGCATCGTCTGCTAGATGTTGAAGTACCGTACGGCTGCGTTCGTTTTGTGGAACATCGTCTAGGTGGAACTTAAGGCGACGAAGCCAGCACGAAAAATCTTTACTCCCGTCGCAGGGTTTAAAAGAAGACTGAACAGGGTTTGTTGTACTGTTTTTAGGCTGCGGGCTCGGCTCGTTCGCTGCCACCATTGTAGCGTCCGACTTCGAAAGGGGTTCGGCGGCCGAGAGTTCACTGGCGTCCTTTTCGGTTGCCTGAGACGGAACGTCGGAAACTGGGGCACTCTGTCCGATTTGTGAACCGTTAGGATCGTCCTTCCAAGCGTTCATTATCGAATAACAATCTTCAAGCACACGATAAGCCGCGTAGTACTCTAAGGTTTATTGAGGAAGGGCAAAAAGGGGAACGTAGAACGAGGGCAAAACAGAGGGGGATCTATTAGTCCAACAAAACGTTAGTTTCACAGTTGTCCAGGGAAGGCGGAGTTGGATGCTGACACCGGGGAGAGGGAGTCTTCTTCCTCACGCACCTCAACTAAAAAAACGTGAGAAAGCAGACCGATAGTGTCCAGACACCAGGCACCCTTGCTCTCAAACCTAGCGCCCTTGTCTATTAAAACAACCGTTCATGTGTGGGCTGTACAATCCGTCTACGCGAGCCACACGCCTGCCACCTGCAGGTCTTCACCAAAACAGCAGAGGGACGCCTCGGATCTCGTGTCGGGGCGCATACCATGGGGCCCTTACATAAAGGGCATGTTTTCCCAAAGTTGCTAGCCCATGTGCTCCGTGAAGTCCGTCAAATAATGGGTATTCGCTGTGTCTGAGACAAAGCCCTCGGGGCCTACACCGTTTTGCTAATCTGTTTTAGTATTATGAGGGCAAACAGCAGATTAAATTTCGTCAAGTCAGGCTTGTTCGGGTAAAGCAAAACTGCTGCACAGATCGACGGTGAGGGTCGTGAAACAGATACCTACATCCATCATATTTGAGATCTGATTGGTATTCGGCCTGACAGGCAAGAGTCTGCCACGGGTGTGCCAACGATGTGGTTAGCAATAAAATTGACGTCGGTATATAACCACAGTACAGGCAAAAAATAGGTCAGACCTCAACAAATCCAGCAAATCCAGGGAACTCTGATGGGATTCCCGATCTCCGGCTACCTGTTTGAGGCGGCACTGCAAGGAAATTGTCCTATAAGCCAAAATGCTAGATGCGCTATGTGGACGATGCCCTTGTCATCCTACACCGAGATGTGAAGGAGGCCTTTAGAAAAGAATTAAACTCCACCTTCCAACAAATCCAATTTACAATGGAGGTAGAAAAGGACGGAATGCTCAATTTCCTCGAAGTGCGGGTATCGAGACAGGAAAATGGAACCCTCCAGACCGGTGTTTTCTGAAAACCTACAAACACAGAGAAAATGCTCCACTACAACAGCAACCACCCCCTGTCGCATAAACGCCGTTTCGTCCGGACACTTTTTCACCGCATCAACACGCACTGCAGCACAGAGGCCGAGAAGCTACAAGAGCGTGCGTCGCTGTGGCACCTCTTCCTTGTTACTGGAAACCCACGTAGCTTCGTAAACAAATGTCTGTTCCAAAGACACACAAAGACTGACGGTGAGGCGAACCAAAAACCTGAGGTACTCCGTGTCTTGCCCTACATGAGGAACATCTCTGAGGCCACTGAGACTATGCTAAGACCACTTAACGTGGGCGTTGGACACCGACCGGAAGCCACCATCCGCCGATTAGTCATGCAGCCAAAGGGTAGGTTGCTCCCTGAGGACATGTCATTTACCGCGTCAACTGCCTAGAATGTCAGGCTTGACAAAAAACGACACAACACGCGCATGCATGAGCAGACTTTAGCAGTCAAGCGGAAAGATGCACGCTCACACGTTGCCATGCACAATCTAGAAAGTGACCATCGGTTTGATTTTGACGGCGCCCAAGTGCTCGGTCGAGGGAAAACGGACTGGCGCGAGAAATTTTCGGGGCCCGGCAAACAGACGTCAACTCCATCAACCGCAGAGTCAACCTACCGGCACCATACGAGGCCACCAAACACCACCTACGCAACAGGGGAGATCCAATAAGGATATCAGTTGATGGCCCTATCAGGGGTGAGCGGGAGGGACCTTACTAAACCGTGCAGTACTCATATATCCTATATCCGATGATGCGCGCGAGTATGAGTGTGAAACGTCAGATGAATAAATCATCATTCCCAGAGTTCGCCTTACCATCTTCTTCAATCCCAACACCTGGGGTCAGCAATTTTACCTATGACCATATATATATATGGATATAGGCGAAAATGCCGACCCCAGGTATTGAGATGGAAGAAGGTAAGGAGATCTCTGGGGAGGATGATTTATTCATCTGACCTTTCACACTCATACTTGAGCGCATCATCGGAGATAGAATAAAATTGGAATACAAGGTTTAAATAGGTCTCTCTTACTCGCTACTGATAGGTCCATTGTTCGCTCTTCCCACTGGCCCTCCCTTCCTGACCAAGTAATGTCTGACGGCCTCGTATGGCGCCGGTAGGTCGATCCTACGGTTGATCGAGTTGACGTTGGATTGCCAGGCTTCGATTATCTCTCTCGCCATTTTGCTTTCAGCTCGGCCGATAACTTCTGCCTTGTCGAAGCCGAATTGATGGCTATTTTCGAGGCTATGCATAGCAACATGTGATCGTACATCTTTTCGCTTTACAGCTAGAGAAAGCTCATGCATGCGTGACCTTAATCGTTTGTCGGTCATGCCACAGTAATTGGCCGGACAGTCTAGACAGTTGATGCGGTAAACATTTCCTGACGTGTCCTCAGGTGGTAGCCGCCCCTTGAGCTGCATGAGCAAACGGCGGATAGTGACCTCCGGCCGGTGTCCAAGGCCCACGTTAAGTGGTCTGAGCATGCGTTCAGTGGCTTCGGAAACGTCACTCACGTAGGGCAAAGGACGGAAGAATTCAGGTTTTTGTTTTTGTTCACCATCGGTCTTCGTGTGCCTTTGATACAGGCATTTGTTTATGAAGCTACGTGGGTACCCATTGGAGAGAAAGAGACGCCATAGGGATTTACGCTCTCGCAGCTTTTCAGCCTCTGTGCTGCAGTGTGTGTTGATGCGTAGGAAGAGTGTCCGCACGCAACTACGTTTACGTGACAAACGGTGGTTACTGCTGTAATGGAGGATTTTCGCCGTATCGGTCGCCTTTCGAAAGACACCAGTTTGGAGGGCTCCGTCTTCCTGTCTCGACACCTGGACATCCAGAAAGGGGATTTCTCCGTCTTTTTCTTCCTCCATTGTGAATTAAATTTGGGGGAAAATTTAGTTCAATTTGCTTTTGAACGTTTCTTTCATGTCTCGAGGTAGGATGACAAAGGTGTCATCCACATAGCGCATCCAGAATTTGGGCATGTAGGACAGAAAGACCCGTGTTTCCAGTTCTTGTAGAACCGCCTCAGCTAGGTAGCCGGAGATTGGCGATCCCATCGGAGTTCCCTGGATTTGCTCGTACACCTGGCCATTAAACGTAAAGTACGTGCTCAAGCAGTAGTCCCGTAGCTCCATTATGTGCTTCCTTTTCAGAGGTCTTTCCTCTTCATCGTACCTCCTCTCCAGTAGGTCACTTATGACCCCCGTGGCTAATTTTTTAGGGATGTAGGTGAAAAGAGAGACGACGTCGAAGGACACCATTATTTCGTCGGGGGTTATTTTGACGCCTCGGAGTCTTTCCAAGAAGTGTGTTGGGGATACAGCTGTGTGTTCTGAGCCCTCCGTCAGCTTCTTCAGATGGTTGCTAAGCCACTTAGCCAGACCGTAGGTAGGTGTGCCTTTCAGCGCCACAATTGGCCGTAAGGGAGCGTTTGGTTTGTGGATCTTTGGCAGACCATAGAAGCGTGCTATGGCAGCATCGTGTGGTTTCATCTGTCGCCAATCTGTCTCAGATATTGCCTGTTGGTTGCACATTAGATTCAGACTCTTATTGATTATTGCCACCAGTGTTTTCATGGTGTCGGAGTTAATGACTTTGTACGACTGGTTATCGTTGAGTAGCTCCTGACTTGTCCAGAATCACGGTTGCCCGTCCTTTGTCTGCTGGGACCTGTTGCTATGCATAGCCTCGAATACAACCATCAGTTCGGCTTCGACAAGGCAGAAGTAATCGGCCGAGCGGAAAGCAAATGGCGCGTGAGATAATCAAAGCCTGACAATCCAAAGCCAACTCGATCAACCGTAGGATCGACCTACCGGCGCCATACGAGGCCGTCAGATATTATTTGGTCAGGAAGGGAGGGCCAGTGGGAAGAGCGAACAATGGACCTATCAGTAGCGAGTAAGAGAGACCTATTTAAACCTTGTATTCCAATTTTATTCTATCTCTGATGATGCGCTCACGTATGAGTGTGAAACTTCAGATGAATAAATCATCCTCCCCAGAGACCTCCTTACCTTCTTCCATATATATATATATATATGTATAGATTATCATATATCTAGGGCTACAGATGTCCCTGCCCTAGGCGTGAAAAGATACACAAAATTAATCAGGAGGAAGTTAAGATAAGTTCATTGCTGGCAGGTCAAATGAGTTCAACGATTCTGTCTTGAGTAGAGATGGCCATCCTGGACTGCGTGCTGTCTGCTATACTATTGTAATAACAGTTTTCGATTCTTTATGAGGCATGCTACGGAGACGATGGCGGACACTTCTCCCCACCAAACTAGCATCAGGTCGCAAACAGTAGTCTATTCGGCAGCTTAAACTTTAGTAGCGGCCCACAGTTTACGTATCTGGTACGTTGATATCCTCTGTCCTTACTAATTACTTGTCTTGATCCTGGCCAGCCTTGGAATTCTTTATGACAAATCAATCTCAATCTGTATTCTGTGCGATTGCTCACGCTAGTATATTAAGCATGCCGTCGGACCTTTTCGATATTTTGAAGAGTTTGTCCTTAGTAATTACTTGCCTTGATCCTGGCCAGCCTTGGAATACTCAACGACAATTTGTAATCTGTACAATTGCTCATGCTAGTATATTAAACATGCCGTCGGACCTTTTCGATATTTTGAAGTTTTTGTCATGATCGCAACAATTTTGCACAGCAATTGTCTCCGCGAATGCTTACACTGGGAAGACGACGAAGCCTTTTCCGTGGGACATGAGAGGCCAATCAATTTTTTTCATGATTTTTAAGACGTTTCAGCTCTTCAGCTACCAGATTTTAAAGAAATGCCGCATCTTCGAAGGTACCTGCTTGCACGACCCATTGACGTGTATTGGCAGACACCACCTACTTTACGTCAAACATAACGACTGGACATTCGAACACCAATACCTAGACACCGAATAAATTTATTTGCGTGTTTCTCAGTAGTACCTCATGAATGTATTTGCCCTCTGGTCTGGAGTAAAAGGGAAGTATCTGCTCACTTGATTTAACAGTACTTTGCTGGACTTAAGCAGTAAAGTAAATAGGTAGACACTTGTAGATATTTCAAAAAGTGTGAACTGCAGGATTTGCATGCGACTTGGTTCACGTTCGTTTCCTGAATAAAAATATGTTTATGCATGCCAAATTATCGTTCATCCCGTCCGACTATATCCACTATGTGCTCTACACCTGGGTAAGAGCGAATACAGGATTTTGCATGGGAGCAGCATGGCAGCAGACTTGCTTTTCATCTACCGCACCTTCTGTTATCTTCCTGCACCTAGTTCCGGAGTCAGGACAGAGTCAATGAAACCAGAGGCGGGAAAGAGCTCAGGGGACCGGCGAGGGAGCGGGTGTTCCATAGAGACCGCTTTGAGAAGGATCCATTTCAGCCTGATTCTCATTCCACCAGTAGGCCACTCAACCGACAAACAACACGCACCGGGCCATACACCCTGCACAAATCCAACGGAGTACGATAGTCATAGAGGCCGCAATGAGAAGCAGCCTTCTTAGCGTGATTAACAGTCTATCAGTCAGCCATTCAACCCACAAAAACGCACAGGGCCGACATCGACGTCAAGTTAACCCCTCGGATGTCAACCTCCAAAGCTACGGCTTTAAGAGCATCGTGATTGCTTCTATTGACGCTCAGTTTCGTTCCCTAACCACAAAATATGTTTATTCAAGCCAAATTAACAGCTCCATAGCAGGCGCATTACAAGCCCAGAGATATTGATGTCAGTTTAATCCAATTGTGAACAACTTTGACTTTGGTGACGATCGCATAATCTGCTGGACCGTCAGTTGCTGTGCTTTCCAGCAATCCATACCAGAACCAACCTCCGCCATCCGTTGAAGGACAGGATAGTCCACCTCCACTGTCTCCAGAACCTATGCTCTAAAGGGTAAAAACGGTGGTTTAGGTTCTAGACCCGACAGAATGAATGAATAAAGACAAAGCAATCATAGTAAACTTGCATTTGTGAACAACATTGCAAATGGGAAGAATTAGCTCGTGTGACTGCATTGGCAAAAACCAAATACCGTAGGATAAAATGTTTGTATGAAGAACCTATTATAATAGTTTGTGTGCCAAGGTACCTCATTATAATTTCGAAAGTGATGGACAGGCGTAGAAATATGCGTTGTTGCTTAATCCCAATAACTATAAGCTCGCCTCTTGTTTACCGCATAGTGGAAACACGCACGCATATGAGCAAAGGGATTGGCGATTTCAAAAGATACCATGAATGTAATGGTAGAGGGATGCTCTCCAGTCTCGAAACGTGCACCAGGCTTGATCTAGTACCTCACAGATCGACACAGAGAGACTGTCAGTATAGGTAGAATAGCATTGCGACACTGAAGTGACCCTTTCTGGCTTATAAGCAATCATCATTCGGCCGTACCCAATCGCAATTTTGCAACTGCCAAGGCTCGGACCTGTATGCCGTCAGACAAAAGCCGAACGCTCGAACGTAAATACACAACGGGACAGGTATTCCTCTTTAACACGATCGGTAGGCATCCTCATCCAGTGGGTATGCCTCGACTGAAACCGACGGCAGCACAGGGACGTAGATCAGTGGTTACAGCCTCGGCATGCAAACCACCTGGACGCGAATTCGAGCCTTAAATATTGAAAACTTGGTGTTGGGTATGGCGGACTAATGACGAATGATTAGCCAAAAATGTCCATATCAGTACTCCGTTACATTGTGGTTAATGCCATATTGAAAATAAATACTATTTTCATAAATTGAGTACCAATGTATTTTGCGAATAACCTGCAGGAAAACGCTGTCGGCTTTTGAACAGTCTTCATGATTTACCTTGCCTGTGGTTTCTATGCATGAATTACTCTGGGCATACTGGGAGCCATATTCCTCCCAGCAGCTCTCATCCAACTCGAATTTGACTTCGGCCTCCCTCAGCGTCTTTGGATATTTTTTTTCTCCAGTTGACCAGTTCGGGACCATAGCTCCCCAACCGACGTAGAAGCAGGCGTAGCCTGGTGGCAGCTCAACGCGTCCGCTCGGAAAACAGATCGGCGACACACGCTCGTCTTGAAAAGTTCAAAGGAAAATTGTGCGCATAGATATGAAGCGTTGGGTACTTCATAGAATGATAAGTCAAAAGCTGGCTAGAGCGCATAGAAATTTACACGAAAAAAGTATGACACAGATGATAAAATGAGATGGAGGACGACGGCGACGGTGACAGGCAAATCCGTAGTACAATTTACGAGCGAAAAAAAGTACTACCGATAATAAACTATTTATATGTAATTAAAAAGCAGTAGAAGTATAGCGATGCTATATGCACAGCAGATGATAATAACTTTGGCAAAATTTCAAGCCAGTAGTCCAACACGTTACCTGGAATAATAGGCTCGAATAACTTTAATATCGCGATGTCGTAGCCATTACCAATCGCGGTTATATTGTGTTTCGGGTGAACAGCTACATACTGCACGCGTCGCAATTGCCTAGATAGATCAGCTTGCGTGTAGTCATGAGCACCAATTAGTACAAACAGCGGATGTTCGGACGTAATGGTCATGTCGATCAATCCCTCGAATGGGGTATATCTGCAACCAATGGCATCGAAGACGCAATGTGCCACTGTCAGTACGAGGGAGCGACTGATCAATGTTCCACCACAGAAGGGCCAATCACCAGACAGCGACGACCATAGTCCCACCTTAAAAGAGGAAAAACTGTTAGTTATTTAAATTTAGAGGGTCAGAATCGCTGTGTAGTACTCTGACCTCCTTGACTTGATTCTGAAAACCGTGAGGACAAATCTATCATGTTGCATTTTAACAAATGATTTATGATGACCATAGTAAGTGTGAGATTGTCATCTTTGCGTATACATTTGAGTTCCTGAGTGAAAATGCACTTATTTGGTACCCGTCAGCTTAAGAAGCTGTGCTACAAACGTTGTCGTTTCTACTATTTTTTGATTCGCAATCAACGTCATCGAAGATAAAGGGTTTTACAAAACTTTACGTCATAAATCAACAGTTAAAAACGAGACATAATATTTTTCGTCAGGCATTATCAAAGTAAGTTACATTCAGTAATTTCGCAGATACTTAGCTGGTAGAATATAACAGTTAGTATAACTGCTCAAAGAATGATATATCGTGCCAGGGCTCTTGTAGAAAGATACTACTTCAATTGTGCGAAGCAAATCAATTAAACTGCATATATTATTGGTCTACGTTTCACTTCCATTTTCTAGCATTTAATTAAGAAATGTCCTTATTACTGAATCGCTGGTTGCTTCCGTGCCAAGGCCAGCTGTGGGGCGTTGGGCGAGTTTTCATTCTCGTGGCTTCCTCGTTGTATTTCCGCCGAATTACAGGAACACCACAGTCCGTTGGAAAACCGCGCTCGATTTCGACAGCTTTCACCAGACCTGCGGAGAC